GAGAGAGAGAGAGAGAGAGAGAGAGAGAGAGAGAGAGAGAGAGAGAGAGAGAGAGAGAGAGAGAGAGAGAGAACGGAATGTAAAATAAAATAAAAATAAAAAATAAAAAAAACAGCAGAATGCTTCGATACTGTATTTCTAGGAAGATGCAGTAGAAGAGAAAAAAAAAACAAAACCGGGAACGAGCCAGACCCAAATCTCCCCCCCAGACACATATCGCCCGCCCCAGTTTGCAACGGGAAAAAACTATATCCCTGAAAAGGGAAACAACGGATGGCGCCCTGTACTAAATTGCAACTACCTTGACAAGATAAACTGCCGTACTACGACCGGTCTTAGGGACGACTGTGACCGGACCCTATTTTCTGCTGTCGGAGACCCCAAACGAACCCATCCTAGCGAAGCTGTACTGCACGACCTTACCAAAAATAGAAAGAACATGAAACGACGAAAATGGAACCCACACAAGAGCAGCCTCCTGGCTGCGAATTCTCTTCTACAGGGGGGTACAGCCAAGGATATGCCTAGGGGGTCGGTGCTGAAATTTGCATTCTCTGCTACCAGGCTTTTCTGCTCACCTCCAGTACCTTTCCCCACTTGAGAATCAAATTCGTGCAGGTATATCCAGAAGCCAAGCGGGATCGGGCCGCCATCGGCGGCGCATTTTCCGTTTGGAGCCTTGTTTTTCTGCCCGCGGTCAATATATGGGAAAGGCACTGGTGGCTTAAATCCTAAACCCTCCTCTGTTTCAGTGGACCCTAATGCAGCCAACAGACAACAGCTCATGCTGATTGAAAGCTTCCCTACCTCCTTTGACTCATCATTGCATCCAATACCATCCCATACCATCCTAGGTCTCCCAGGCATTGTGAGGAGAGGGGGAAAAGGTTGTCCTCAAGCACAGCAGAGTAGGAATCAGTTATTGTTCTTTTCTCCTTTTTTTCCTTCTTTTTCTGTAATTCGCTGGCCAGAAACAATGTGCCACCCAACCCATGCCCTGCTCAACTTTGCCTTGTCCTTTATGCTGAGGTCACTAGGGCCAGATTCATCCTCTTTTTTGGGGGAGGATTTTGATGTTTCGGGGGAGGTACATGAATCTTGGGAGGTGGCGGGCTAAAAATATTGGGAGAGCATAGATGCGCATGCGGAAGGGAAGCTCTGATGATAGTCAGATGTCATCTTGACGATGAATCCATGCCTTCCACTGGATCTGGTACATGGGTCGGCAATACGATCAGAAAACTGCAAGAAGAGGAACAGTTACAGCCTTTCTTTAACGGTCTTTGAAGTCGACCAACTTAACGGGAAAGTTGAATAGGTGCAGAAGGTCTGCGAAGGCGCGTACGATCAAGTCACACCTCCTGGGTACATCACACACTACAACGGTGAACAGGTGGAGGCTTCTTGAAAGTACAGGGCTACTACGTTATAGCATGCATATGCCCAGGGAGTATAGGGCTCACTAGAAGGTGGATATCACGGTCGACATTACAGGTGGAAGTAGGCACCTCCTACAGTGTGTGCGCTGATCAGGAGGTATAAGTATCATGAGAGACAAGACACTGGTCTCTTTTCTCGGCAAAAGGACTTCGGAGAGTTCCACTGTTGCATACCGTAATGGTGCAGACCAGAACAAGAACCGACCTCTCTTACAAAGTACAAGATAGCGTAGCGGAAGACTTAGATACCAATGATCCGAACAATCAATGTTGCAATGCAGCCCCAAACGTACATCATGAAGGGGGCCTGGTGCTCACACAGGAAGAATGCGCCAGTCCCCAACCATACACAGACGAAGAAGAGGGGGGTTAGACGAAGAAGAGGGGAAGATGGGAATGTCGTCAGCACCAAGTCTTCGGCACAGGCCCCAAATAATCCCTCGTCAAATATCTGAATCCCAATGTCAAGTCTGGATCCAATGTCGTCCAGTCCCAAAGTCCCAACTCTCTCTCTCTCTCGTAGTCCGCAGATTCTGAGAAGTCAGGTAGTGAGAGGGTGAAGAAGCGATGGTGGACTTAGAAGAGGAAGAAGAAGAACTCTCTCTCTCTCTCTGTCCGGTACTAACCTGTGAAGTTGGCACCTTGATGCAGGTGCCTCGGAGATGAAGCTGGAGCTATGGCGCCACAGGTAAGTCTCCCTGGCCTCCGCCAGCCATCTCTCTCTCCAACACTACTCTACTCCTACCAGCGCCCAGCGCTGAAGACTACCACTACAGCTACTAGCGCCCAGCGCTGMAGACTACTGCTAGCGCTARMKCTACTCCTGCAGCGCTCCTCCAGAGTGCTGCTGCCGAATCCTGAAGACTGCTCCTGCCTTCTGCCTCCCGTGAAGTGCATGGGAACTCCCTATGTACTACCTCGGCCTGCCTCCTGACTGCGTCCGACTGCCTGCAGTTGCAGGGCGGGACAGTCCAGGAGGCTGCTCTTGCCAATGCCAAAACGAGCCAGGGCCTGGCGCTGCAGCTGCTGCTGAGGCTGTCGTGGGAACAGGCCGAAAATAGCCTGTTCCTAAAACCCTGGTTTGGTGCCTGAATGTCAGGGCAGGTCGATCCTATGAGGGCCCGAAAGTGGCCCTCCGTTTCAGGCTGAAAAGACTCAGGGCCTGGACGGCCCTGTTTTAGGTTGAAACGACATAGGGCCTGCAGGCCCTCGTTTTCAGGCTTTCAGGCTGAACGACACAGGGCCTGTAAGCCCTTGTTTTCAGGCTTTTAGGCTGCGAACGCTGGTCGGGCCCTGCAGGCCCGTGTGGCTGCGCAGTATGCCACACACTCCCCTCCTTGAAAGACCGAGCTTACCTACGAGGGCGAAGCCGTCTGTCTGAGGGAGGGACCACAGTCCGGGTGGGAAGGGCAGGTCGTGAAGTTCCCTTAGCTAACCTTTGTCACTCATAGTGAGCGTAGATCAGCGGTGCGGATGTTTTCAAATCTGCTCCTGAAATCCATCGACTGTCGTCGGGATCGCATGCTTTGAATGTAACCTTGTACTGTCGAAGCTTGCTGCCGTACTTGCGATCAGTGATGACACGGTCAACTTCCTGATGACCATCCATAGATGGAGGGTCTTGCGATCGTCGGCCCGGGAAGCCGTCGCTCTTAGCTGGTGTATATGTTGCCAGCTTCGAGGCGTGAAGGACTGGATGGACCGTCAGATGCGGGGGGATGTTGATCACAAATGAGGGGCCATCGGGCTCATCGCCTGCGGCTGATGTTACGGGCCATGGTCCAAACCACTTGGGAAGCAGTTTGCGTGAAACATCCTGCTCGAGTGCAAACTCTTCCGTGGAGACCCACACCAGATCACCGGCGTGGATGGGACATGGCTTGCGACGCCTGTTGGCTTGCTGTTGCATGCGGACTTGAGCCTTTTGCATGTTCGTGCCGGCTTGAGCCAGCAATTCCCTGTACTTCCGGACGGAAGCGGGGAGCAAGCAACGTCTATGTCAGTTGTTCATGGGAGGAAAAGATCAGCGAAGATATGATCTTTCCGTCCACCGTGGTGCAACTCGAATGGAGTCACGCCGATCGCCGGATGCAACGAAGTGTTGTAGGTGAACTCGATGTCGGGGAGGCGGTCAACCCAATCCTTATGATCCGGACGGATGAGCGTACGAAGCATCATTTGAGAGGTTTGATGAGTCCGCTCCGTTTGCCCATCCGTTTGTGGATGCCGAGCCGAACTTGGTTTCATCTTCGTGTCGGATTCCTGCATGAGAGAGTCCAAAATGCCGACATGAAGCGAGTGTCGTGGTCGCTGACGATGTCTTCCGACACGCCGTGGCTGCAAAGCCAGCCAGTGTGTAAGAGTCGCGCAAGTTCGGGAGCCATGGCGTAGTACCTGCAAGGAAGAAATCACGCATACTTACTCAAACGGTCAACGACCATGAGGATGTCGTCATGCCCGAGGCGGTCGCAGGGAAACGAACCGGTGACGTCCATGGCAATGGAGAGGCCGGGTTACGCGCAACTCGCCGTAGGGATTGCGGCTGCGAGGCTTGCTTCGTCGGCAAACTTCGCAAGATCACAATACCGAGTGACATCGGTAATAAGGTCGGGCCATCAGAATCGTTGCCGAAGTCGTGCAATAGAGCGATTGACTCCGAAATGGCCGGCGAGTCACGAGTCATGGTACTCGCCGAGAAGGCGAGTCTAAAGACGACGGTCTCATGGGACACAGAGTAAGTCCTTGCCTCTCGAGTGGAGGAGCAAATACCCGTCGACGATGTGATAGTGGCTGACCGGCGGGTGATCCGAAGATAGCTGCGCATACAACGTGGCGAAATCCGGATCGGACTCATAGCCCCAGATGAAGTGTTGTTGGAGTTCCTCGTCGAACGCGAAGGCATGATGTGTCATGGCACAAAGATCGGGTCTTCGCGAGAGTGCATCTGCTGCGCGATTGGAGAGGCTAGCGAGATGTTTCGGTGTGAAGTCAAATTGGTCGATGAAGTACATCCATCGTCCGATCGTGCTGCTCACCGTATCTTGCGTTTTGTAGTAGGTCAACGGGTTGTTGTCCGTGACCCATGTGAACCTTCGACGCCCAAGGAGGAAGTGCCGCCATCGCTTGAGAGTCATCACGAACGCGATCAGCTCCTTCTTCCTTGCATCATCAAGTGAATTGATGGGAGACACTTTGTGGCTGAAATACTCCACAGGGTGCCAGTCGTCGCCGTCGTGTTGTTCCAAGACTGCCCCAATGCCATAGTCGGAAGCGTCTGTTGTCACTCTTGTTGGCAGGTCGTCGATGCTAAGGACGGGTGCCATGAGCATGGCTGTCTTAAGTGCTTGGAATGACCAGCGTGCGTCGTCATCGAATATGAATGGCACCTTTGGCGATTGTAATCTTGTCATAGGTGCGGCGATCCTTGAGTACTCGGTGATGAAGCGTTGATAGTAACCCGCCAACCCCATGAATGAGTGAACGTCTGTGGTGTTGGTGGGCTCGGGCCATACGCGGATGACCTCGATCTTGTCCGCAAGCAGACGGATGCCTTGTGGCGTCACATAATCTTCCAAGTACTCTAGCTCTTGCCGCGCGAATCGCATTTGTCGTGGTTGCCTTTGTACTTGGCTTGTCGTAGCCGCTTCAAAATGGTGCGCAGGTGCTCCACATGCTCGTCCAAACTCTGGTTGTACACCAAGATGTCGTCGAGGTAGATAAGTGCGAATCTATCCAGCATGTGTCGGAACTCCGTTATCATAGCCGCTTGGAATGTGGCCGGGGCATTCGTAAGGCCAAAAGGCATAACCAACCATTCGAAATGCCCATATCGCGTCTTAAACGCGGTCTTGTAGCGGTCCTCCTGCCGGATCTCCAGTTGGTGATATCCCGATTTGAGGTCAAGCTTGGAGAAGAACTTGGCGCCGCCCAGCCGTTCGAGGAGGTCGTCGATGCGCGGAAGAGGGCCGACGTTCTTTACAGTTTGCGTGTTGAGCTTACAATAATCGATGCACAACCGCAAATCCTTGTTCTTCTTCCGGACGAAGAGAATGGGGGCACCGTATGGCGAAGAGCTAGGCCGAATCCAGCCTTTCTCGAGAAGGTCGTCGAGTTGTGCCCGTAACACACTTAACTCTTCCTCGCTCATGCGGTAGATGCAACCACGCGGAGGTACGGCCCAGGCTTCGAGGATGATCTCGTGGCGGATTGACCGATCCGGTACTACTCCGTGCAGGGCTTCGAATACGTCGCCATAAGCGTTGAGAAGCTCGATGATGCGTGGGTCTGATGATGAGTCCATCGATGGGATGTCTTGGGGCGGGAGGGCGTGGAGAAAACACACACCCATCTCCTCGATGTCATCCCTAATGATGGAAGCTCGAATGCTTGCAGCGGACACCACGTGGCAGCTGATCGAAGGGTGAGGAGGAGGCACTGTGCATGGGACTAGTACTCCGTTCCGGTCACGAACGTGAACGGTGCGGCGGTAGAAGTTCATCGGGTGATCCTCGCTTGGCAGCCATGGCATGCCCAAGATCATGTCGAACTTGGTGTCCAAAATATCGAAGGACACGGCCTCGCTTGCATGCGGGGCAAAGTACACGGGGACGACATCAATGCACCGGTCTATTGACTTGTGTGTGTGACCGTCGGCCAACGTGACTTGCATGGGCTGCGACTTCCTCCGAGCGCGTGGCCCAAGGCCAGCGCGTACCATAAAGTCTTGGCTCATGTAGTTGCGAGTAGCGACGCAATCGATCAAAGCGCTGCAGGTCGCCTCTCCGATCTAAATGCGTATATACAACAATGGTGCGTCGATGTCGTCGTACCGTTGTGTCTTGAACTCGCGGTCGATCTTCGCAACGTCGTCGTGAAGGTTGACAACCTCTACTCCGGCGTCCATCAACGGAGTTGGTACTGCAGTGTGCAAGTAATCCCGCAATTGTGCCATGAGCACGTTGCAATGCGGTTTCGACAATCGACCGTACGGGGGAAGGGGCATCCATTGGAGTCCGCAAACTTCAACGGGTCTAGCTCTTCAAGTCTTGACCATGACATTGAATCCCTGGCGATAGATGGCGGCGAAGCTGCCGAATCGGTTGCCGATGGTGGTGAAACCGTGCATGTGGTGAATTGTTGCACGTGGAGTGGTTGGTCCAACGGTGGGACCGAGTGGACAACATAATCCTCGCAAGTAAATCGAGGACTTGCGACATTTGCATCCTCCCCAGATGTGTAGGAGGCCGCTAGCAAGGCGGTCGAATCTGGCGGAGTGAGAGGTGGAGTCGCCTCACCTCCCGCACAACTCAGTTTCGCGAGTTGATGCGAGGCCGAACATCCTCCTTGCTTTGATCCGAGCATTGGGAGGTCTCGTGCTTGGTGTTGCTGCAGCAATAGAAGCCGCTATACCGGCCGCACCACTTGTATTCGGCCTCGGTCAAGTGAAACTTGACCCATGGTGCTGGCTGTCTGTTTCCGGCCGGCGATGCGGTTTTCGCCTTCCCTTTTTCTTGGGAGTTGTTGTTGCTTCACGGCTGGACAGCGGCCACCTGATCTCCCTCACGTGATGCTTGGGTGGCTGCCGGGTCTTCCACAATGTTGTCCCGTTGGACTGCAGCGTCATGCTGCGAACGCGGACCAAAATTTCCTTTCTCCGCATAGGTTGGCTGCCATGCTAACTTCTCGTGTGCAGCTGCCCTATTGGTCTTGATGATCACCCTTGCCTTGTCGATGATTTCGGCGAAGGTCGTGTATTGCTCGCGATCACCAAGTGCGAGGCTCAAGGCGGCATATGACCGGTTGTAGAACTCCCAGTGCAGATGCGAAAATGGCAACTCAAGATCGGGCGTTGTAGCGATCTTTTGCTATTCCGTGAGCCAGTCGCGTGTCGATGTGTTGCCTTGGGTCATGCTGAAGAGGCGGTTGATGGCGAGCGCCGGGGCGTCGTGCACGATGAGCCGCTTCTTCCATAGCCTCGTCAACTCTTCCCAAGAGATCTTCTCATGTAGATCGGCGACCTGGACGCCGTGGATGGTTGTCAGGTGGCTGAGCCAGATCTGGCATCCGCCCTTTGAGTTGAGGAACAACGCGCCGATGTATAAGTGCTCGGGGACAAACTGAATCCGAAGTTCCGTCGTAAGGACCTCCCACCAGGGGACAGGGGACAGGGTCTTGATGCGTATAATCATCGAACTTTTCGATGCGGAATGTCGGCATCTTGTAGTGTTGCGCACTGGTGTTGCCATCCTTGTTGGGCAGCTCGTAGTGTTGCTGAACCTCGGTCTTCAAGGTGTCCAGCTGCTTGTTGATGGTGGCTAGTGCAGCAAAGGTGCTGATGTCGCCGAGCATTGCGACTACGTGGTCAACTCGTTCCTCCAATTGGCGGGTAGAGGGTGCACTGTTGGACTCACCAGCATCTGGTCTTGGTGCAACTTGCTCCAAGTCCTGTACATGGGAATCAAGTGCCCGTGTAGCATCCTCGTGCAGATCCTTGTGGTTCCGCACCGCCTGTCGGAGATTAGCCAGCTCGGACTGCAGGTGGTTACAAGTGTAAACCAACCGGGTCACGAGTTTGGCAAGAAACTCCTTGTGCTGCTCTTCCGGTGTCGCGTCTTCGTGATGCTCAGATGGGTCAAAATGCCAAAACTTGAGCTTTTCGATGCTGGCGGCTTCATGCCGCTGTAGCAGATCCTGGGCTTCCTTGCGTCGTGCCTGGGTATCTGCGTCTGCCTCGGCCTGAAGCCGCTGCTTTTCAGCTGCTGCCGCCGCTTCAGCCTGTAGGTGGACAGCCTCGGCTGCCGCCTGACGCTGTCCTCAGCCTCGATCAGTGCGAGCTGAGCCTGGAACCGCTGTCGGTACTCGGCAATGGACTCATTGGCCAGTTGGCTTGGCATGCCCAGAACTGAGACCATCACGGTGGCGGGGCACTGTTGCTGACATGGCACTGCTGACGTGGCACTGCTGCTGACGTGGCACTGCGGATATGGCACTTAGTCTGTTGCTGACGTGGCACTGCTGATGTGGCACTGTACCGAGTCGGGAATGCAGGCAAAGGGTTGGGTGGGAGGGAAAACGCAGGTAGGTAACCAACCAAGCTATACTTTCCTCCCCGTCCTAATCAACAGAATAAAATAAAAAAATAAAAGAAGAGGATCACCCCCCAATTTTTTTCTATTTTTTTTTGTATATCTGACGATCTTTTATGAGTGAGGCATGTCTGAGGAGTACTATGAGCGAGATCTAGGCAAAGTTCCGCAATGTTTCGGCTTTCAAAAAAATGCGATCTTGAAAAAAAAATTGTGCGAAATAGAGTCGAGATGCGATTTTCAGAAAAGAACTAAAATTACTAAATCCAGTTTCTGAGAATATGACAACCTCCTAATATGCCTAAAACGAAATGCTGATACGCTTTGCAAGATTTCGTTTTTAAAAAAAAATTGCGAGATAGAATGGAGATTCGATTTTCAGAAAAGGATAAATCTGGTTTCCGAGAATATGACCACCTCTATAGTTATCCTAACATGCCTAGAAAACGAAATGCTAACATCAGAAATTTTCGGCTATGCATGCGAATATCAGAAATTTCGGATGCTAATATCAGAGAAACGAAATGCTACTTTCAGAAATTTTCAGATATTTTTTGCGTGAACACGAAATGCTAATATCAGAAATTTTCAGATAAAACGAAATGATATTATCAGGAATTTTCAGATATTTGTTGCGAGAAAAAAAAAAATTTCAGAGATTTGACGAAGTCCTACTTGATTTAGTAATAACCAATCAATAGATCAAGCAAGCTGGCTACTTGATTGAGCGGGTCCTCTGATTGAGAGGTCCGCTCCGATACCAAACTGTTGCATACCGTAACAGTGCAGACCAGAACAAGAACCGACCTCTCTTACAAAGTACAAGATAGCGTAGTGGAAGACTTAGATACCAATGATCCGAACAATCAATGTTGCAATGCAGCCCCAAACATACATCATCATCATTCCATGGTGTGAAGGGGCCCCGGCGCTCACACAGGAAGAATGCGCCAGTCCCCAACCATACACAGACGAAGAAGAGGGGGGTTAGACGAAGAAGAGGGGAAGATGGGAATGTCGTCAACACCAAGTCTTCGGCACAGGCCCCAAATAATCCCTCGTCAAATGTCTGAATCCCAATGTCGAGTCTG